CTCCCCCCCCCCCTCTCTCTCCCATAATCAGAAGTTCAGAAAAGGCTATGGCCACACCCTGCATGGTTTTGAAATTAAAGGATAAGGGCTGGATGAATATAACCAAAAGAGGATGCATATGTGTAGTTGCCCTTGATTTGTTTGGAAGAAATTTGACATGATAGGCCCGGTTAGGTAAGGCACGCCTAAAGCGGTTGCCTCAATCGCTGTCTCAGGCAATTGCCTAAATCGTTCAAATAATGTACAAAGAACTCAATACATCAATTAAAATTGTTAAAGTGTGAGCTATATGGTTCTAATAACAATAAGATTTGTTCCGTTAGTATATCAACAATTACTAGATTGTGTGTGGAGATTTTGTATCATCTGAAAGTGCAATATCATCTTTTGTATGTTTGTTGTTGGAAAGTTACCAGATGAAAATATACCATTTCAGGTGGAGAAGCTTCCTATATACAGCATGGCAACTCCAACAATTGCAGGTGCCAAGGAGATGTTAACCTACATGGGTGCTCATCCTGAGATAAAAGTAAATACTACTGACAAAGTGGTTATAACAGATCTCAGGGAAGAGGCTGTGGTTTATATCAATGGTACTCTTTTTGTGCTGAGAGAATTAAACAAGCCTCTTGATACCCTCAAGCATGTTGGAATTACGGGTTCATTGGTACGAGTCCTACTAACTACTGTGCCTATCATGCTTGTGATTTAACTCTTGAGATCTAAGAATCATTTTACAAGATTTTTTTCTCTTGGGGTTTTACATTCTTTTTTTCTTGTTTGGGATATGATGGAATAAAGCAAATTGGCTCTCTAATTTGTTTGCGCTTCTTGCAATTGTGAAGTAGCAGTTGGTCAATGCCACTTTCGACGCTCATCATGGGTCATCTGGAAACAACCGCTCTATGTTTTAAACATAGTGTTCAGACTGCATAAATACGATCCCCCTTACCCTGCAATGGGCGGGAGCCGTTGAGGCACTGGGGTAATGTTGTTGTAGTCTCGTATTTATACATTCTGAATTGTTTAATTCAAAATGGTGTTAAACTTCATTTTTTTATATTTAACAACAACCTCTGTGTTTTTACTGGGTTTGTTGTTGGTAATTTTGTGTACATTTTGACCTCGTAGAGCTCAACAGGTTGAGATAAAACTAGGGTTTTGTTGTTATTGTTTTGTGTATCTGGTATACTGAATGCCACTACAACTCATTCTTTTTCATATATGAACATGGTATCAGAACAACACTAAAAATGATACAACAGTAATAACCTTTCTGTTTTTACTGGTTTTGTTGTTATTGGTAAGTTTGTGTACATCGTGACCTTGCAAACTCCAATGGGGTTGAGATTATACTCTGTTGTTGTACTGTGTGTATCTGGTACACTGGATGCCTGTAGAACTCGTTCTTTTTCACTTCTCAAAATGGTATCAGAATGGCAATCTTATGGCTTGACCACTTGAAAAGTACTTTGTTACGGTGATACCATTTTGTGGAGGCGAAGTCTGTCTTAGTTTACTTTTACCAGTCGTTATCATGAAGGAAATACCTCACTACGTTTTTGGTTTCTTACTATGTTTTTTTCACCATGCAAATGGTTTCTAACTAATTTGCCATTTTGGGCCTTGAAAAGGATTAAAATGGAATGAGCTTTAGTGGTATATGTGTCTTAGTTCAACCTCTTTCCATAAGTGATGTATGCATACAAGTTGAAACTTAAAAGGTTGTTTGGACCAGCACATGGTGCTTGCATTCTGCAGTGGGCCATATTTTCTCCTGCAAAACACTCACTACTCTCTAATGAATCTTCTCAGACTTGGTGATCTATCTTGAATTGCTTCAAAAGGACACTTCATTTCAGCATAGGCTCAGCCAGATCGGATCAACCAATTGACTTGAAACCACTGTTAACGTCAGTGCTTCAAGCAGACATTTTGAAGCTGAAAACCTTATTTCAAAGTTTAGGTTTAAATTTCAATCATCTTTTTTCTATAGAAAAAGTCTGCATAGCCTAGAGCTCTGGTAAAGTTAGGTATGGATAATAAGCGATAATGCAGCTCAAAATGCATGGATCACATCCTATCTGTATTGAATCATGATAGAATATGCTTTATGCCTTACCGGTCGGCGGTCACGCATATACTTTGATACATTATGCATGTTCTTGAGGTTTAGAGACTTAGGAGACATTTTATATGTGCTTTATTCTTGGACTCTTCATATTCTAACTGTTTGATCTTATCTTGTTTGTGTGTGTTTGCAAATGCATGTATTCAACATAAAAATCTGAGCTAAGTCTCCTAACTTCTTTTTCATCGTTGCACAGGTGGAACACATGGAATCACGATTAAAAGAAGATATTATTAATGAAATAAAGCAGTCTGGTGGCCGCATGCTTTTACATCGTGAAGAATACAATCCAACACTGAACCAAGTCAGTATCATAGGGTATTGGGAGAATATTTTTATAGATGACGTGAAAACTCCTACTGAGCTATATGCTAGTTTGAAGGGAGAAGGATATAACATCACCTACCAGAGGATACCTTTAACAAGAGAAAGAGAAGCATTAGCATATGATGTCGATGCTATCCAATATTGTAAGGATGAGTAAGCATCAACGACTATCTTGTATTGATATTGTCTATAAATTGCTTATAAACTTTAGCTGTATGCTTTAAAACATCCCATTTAACAAGGTTAAAGTTTGTCATACATTGCTTCCTTTAAGTAGTGCTGAAGTTGTCTACATTAAGATCAAAACCTTGCAGGGTAGTAGTAAAGAATTCCATAGTGCCTAAACAACTTTGTAAATAGAAAACCACAAACTTTAAATAGGTGCAATAGCTACATGCATGAGCTTTTAGAGTTTTTTTAACATATGCTATAAGTCTTATTCAGGTATCATTGGTTATAGTCAAACTAGGAAGAAAACGAGATGCACCCTAATCACTTAGGTTTAGAAGTCCTTGCCACCATCATCATCACCTTAATCCCAACTGTGTTGATGTTGGTTCCATGAAATTTATTATGTCAATTACCTATTTAAAGTTCATTAAACTATAAATTCATGCAAAATAGCATATAGGTACATTTTTATGCCGGATGCTCATAATGTTGCAACCTTCTTATGAGTTGTTAGATACTCTCTTCATCCCACAGTTAATGTGCAGTTTCCCTCCGTCCCACAATTAGTGTACAGTTTGACTTTCACAATTATTTATGCAACACTCTAACCATTAGCATCTATAGTTTTATAAAAAACAAATCTAATGACATTGAATTTAAATTATAATTCATTGGTTTTATGCTAATCAGGTTCAAAGTTCATAAACTTTGACAACAAAGTCAAATTGTAGTATTAATTTTGGGGTAGAGGGGGTATTAGTTAATCCTAAATGTGATTAGTGTTGCCCTATTTTCATGGGCCCAACACATATTAGTGTTTCCCTTATAAGAGCTGTGTGTGTGTCTATATATATGTATGTATGTGTGTGTGTGTGTGTATGGGATTGACTCCAGTGAGATGACACATTATAGTGAGATGACGCAAAGCTCACCACACTACACTACAAAGCTCACCAATGGACAATGCAAAGCTCACCTAAAAATAAAGTAAAGCTCACCACTTTGAACACCAAAACTCACCTCTTTTTTTTAAAATTTTGAATATTTAAAATTAATAAAAAATAAAATAGCAACACCGGTCAGCGGTGGCGGTTTCCGGCGACCAGCGGCGGGGCGGCAGCTGGAGGCAGACGGCGGATTCCGGAGACCGGTAGTGGCGGCAGATTTTGGCGACCGGCAGTGGCGGATTCCGGCGACCGGCGGTGTTCGGCGGCGGCAGGTGGCGGTCAAAGGTCTCGGTCAACGGTCAAAGTCCAGTCAGCACCTCTTTCTTTGATTTTATTTTTTCAAAAAAAATTCAAAGTGTTGAAAAAATATGGTGAGCTTTGCCTTACAATTTGGTGAGCTTTGCAGTTGGTAGTGGGGAGCTTTGCGTCATCTGACCGTAGGATGTCATCTCACTGGAGTCTATATATATATATATATATATATATATATATATATATATATATATATATATATATATATATATATATATGAACGGTCAGTTACAAGCAGGGGGGCCAAGGCCCGTTAACCTCGTGACTACCCCGGGGCCCGTTAACACCCAAGGTAGATAGCCCAATTTAAAGCCCAGCCCCATAAGCCCAAACCTACTTCCCAGGGGGTCACCCGTCATTTTTGCTAATCCCATGCCAGCATGCTTAACTCCTTAAAATTCCCCCAAAGTTGCCCCTTTTGAGGATCGAACCCACCCAGGTCGTAAGGTTATATATATATTAATCATCAGAGCATTAACAATGCTTCTCTATCTACACTAATTTGTTGCTTTAGTTTAATCCTATGTTGTAGTTACATGAAGGAATAGAAGAGACCACATATTAAAGTTAATTAAATGCTTCATTTTGCATCTATTTTTAATGGCCTTTATCAAGTCACTAAAAAGCATTGTCTTGGAAACTTGACTAAACTTGATTGTTTCTTCGCTTTCTTCTTTAAACAGCTCTGCAGGGTCCTACCTTTTTGTATCCCATACAGGGTTTGGAGGGATTGCCTATGCAATGGCCATCATTTGTTTAAGACTTGATGCAGAAGCAAGGATAGCATCAGATACGCCTGGATCAGTTGCTAAAGCCGACCTATTTTCTGCACCTGTTGAGAATCTAGCTTTCCCATTTTCTGGTCACAAAACATGCAAAATGGATGATTATCGAGACATATTAAGCTTAACTAGAGTTCTTGTGCATGGTCCAGAGAGCAAGGGAGACGTAGATAATGTTATTGAAAGGTAATTCCAAACAAACTTGGTCTTTACTGTCTTAAATGAAAAAAAGGTTTAGTACATACTTGTTTTGGGATTGGTAAATGATATGGGGGAGTTGTTGGTTCATTGTGCTTGCATCAGTAGCCAGAGTTTTATAATGTCAACGGTATACTAAATAACTAAAAAAATTATGGATCAAACAATCATATCATTATAAATTTCAAACCAGATAGGTACTTAGGAAACATTTTTTTAATGAAATTGTGTAGATTATTGGTTCGATGTGGATCAATCCTTTGAGATGGCTCTCAAGATGGTGAATCAGTGGAGCAGACTAACATTGAAATCTGTGTTCATTTGAATCTTAATTGAATCAAATTGCTTGTTTGAACTTTATGAAATACCATTTTAAGATTTTAAAGTTAACTTAGGCAGAGTAACCTAAAGCATTTTCCATGAGAAATGATCTTTAAGTGATTTCAGCCACGCATATAAATCCAGTTCTAGTGTGAAGAATGGACAAAACATGGTAAAACATTAAACTTTTATCTCTTTGAAGGCCATGCTTATTAATTGTGGAATGGATCCATATTTGAAATCAAACAAAATTAAAGGCACATCATATCAACCTAATAAATTGGAGTACATGAGTAGGGATTATGTATTTAAATCCCCACCCCACACCCTCGATTACCTGGTGTATGTATTAAAAGATTGGTCTGCCCAAATGTACAGAGGTTCTTTAACATATTTGCATTTATTTTAAATACACATATCACCCCAAGTATTAGAATCATACCTTATCTAGTTGCCAATAAGATGGAAGTTCTAAGTAGATCAATGAATTGGAACCATGAATCTCAGGGTTTGGTGAGTAGAAACAATGTATAAGAACTCCTAGGGTCATTTTGTTCATAGGATTGAAGTCAGTTGGAATATAAATCTCTCTCAGTCCAATGTTTGAAGTATTTTAGATTGTGGGATTATGCTGTGGGTCTTGCTTACTTTGAAAGGCTGAACTGAAATGATGTGGGGAAATGGGGTTGAGTTTATGTAATTAAATACTGCATGTGTGCACACGAATATTTTTATAATGCTAATGGTGACCCTATTTGTGCCCTAACTCTGGTGTTATATACCTGTCCACCCCTTCTAAAGGTGTGCCGGTGCTGGACATTTACGAGAGGATATAGTTCACTTTGCAACAGAACTTAAAAAGTTTCCCAATGATGGTGAAGACGAACATCGGGCATACCTCATGGATATGGGAATTAGAGCTCTACGGTCAGTGTTAAGATTCACTGATCACATTAAAGTTTTTCTTTTTCTCTATGGTGTCAAGTGTGTACTCTTTGTGCATCATGCTAGCCAGATTTTTTATCCTCTTTATTTCTAAAAGTAGCTTTGCATAAACTAGGAAAAAAACCATCGCTTTGGTAAATGATAGTCTGATCTGTTTCATTTCCAGGCGGTATTTTTTCCTGATCGCATTTAGATCCTATCTGTACTGCACGTCTGCTAGTGAGATGAAGTTTACTGACTGGATGGATGCCAGACCTGAACTAGGCCATCTTTGTAACAACCTTAGAATTGAAATGTGAATCAAATTAATGCTCGTCAGAGATAAATGTACCAGGCACTCTCCATCTCTTGCATAGAACATAATAGCATTCCTATTAAGTAAACAAGGAACGCGTGAAGTTATTTACAGTGAGTTGACAGTTGTATGCGGTCAATTAGAGCATGAAGCCATAGACCAACGGTGCTAATGTAAGTTCACTCAGCAAGCCTGTCCTCAATTGTGAGTTGCCCTTGGATTATTTCATTCAGTCTGTAATTACTATTATACCCACCCCAAGTAGAAATTTACTATATTGAGATATATAAATAAATGTGGGTTGTAACCAAGATCATATTAATAGAGTTGATGCAGCAACAGTCTTGCATCTCCATATTTCCTACGTTCTATACTCTTACAGTAATTTATTTTTTCACAAGTTTCTTCTTTTTTCAGTCTCTCTTCTTATGTATATCCATACAAACTTAAGTTATTATTATAACACATTGTCAACGCGAGACTAAGTTTCCTAATGAGATATCAACAAATCAAAGGTACAATTTGTATCTTTAACTCAAATAGACTCGTACACGTGCAATGGGCAATTAATTTACTAAGGAATCACATGAAGTTTTGATGAAAGAAAAGGATGAAAATACTTAAAGATAAAATAATATAATAAAATCTTAAGGAAAGGGAAATATACATTAATACAATGTCGATGGGAAGTGTTATAGGTTTTGGAAAATTTCTTTATAACCTACATTTGTAGTTTGGTTCGACACTGCAAATTCTTCATTGTAGATCAAGATCTTTAACCTTTTGCTATCTGTGACACGTGAAATTGTTACATAAGGTCGACTATGGTCATGATAGATCTTCAAAAAGAAGTTAATCATGACTGAATGTCGATTTCTTGAGTAATAGTCCAACATGTGATAAAGATTGTCCTTGTGCAATAGTTTCATAAATATGAAAAGTTAATGGATTAAGGACGACATGACATCTTGTAGACTTCTATCTAGAGTTTCGAAACAATATTTGTGGGTCATTTTCCCAAATAATAAGTTTAGTTCAAACTTCAAACTAACAAATCTATCAAAGATGTTCCTTGTTTAATGTTACAAGTCAAATTTTCATGTAGATTAATTGGAATTCCAAATCGCGAATGCGCGGTTCTTCCACTTGGCAACAATAATGATGCAATACCACTTGAAGCAAGCAACATTTAACACGACCTCTCCTTTGGAACGTATCGATGCAGACAAAGTTTTCTACAGAAAGTTCTTTCCAGTTCCCCCATAGCCATATATGAAAAAACATTACCATCATCCAAGTCGATAAGCGCTATTATAGTAATTTCATAAGTTGTATGTTGTTCGTTACTCAACAAATCAAATCTAAAGTATATGAGGAAACATATTGACATATAGTGGTAAGGAAGCCATCCAAACTTCTCAATATCCCGCATTCGAGCTGCGCTCCTTGTACTTAAAAAGTTGAGATTATAGTATATATATATATGGTTGAAGAGATACTATACTCGTGGGTGTAAGACCTACTTTAAAAAAAACCACGTTGTACAAGGAAAATATACACTAAAGTGGAGTCTACTTATACAAGGTAGCAAATAATATAGTTATGGAAGTCAGAAGCGGACGAACGAGCAAGTGAGCAACATTAGTTTGTTCTTTGGAATAATCCACGAGACAAGAGGACCCCCAAGTTGAAAAAAACCATCCAGTCAAGGGACAAGCTGCCCACTGAACTGCATCACCTGAGTTAATTGCAAAATATATATTCTTAGCAGATAGAAGAATACATACATTGACCCAGCAGACTTGCTTTTAAATAATGCAGAACCCCAATTATTGCCTTCTAGTGATCATCACGGGGCTCTTTTAAGAACTTAGCAATAGTGGGAACGACATATATATGCTAACTTTGGTTGGGTGATGGACAAGCTAAGTAAAGGAGACGTCCACTTTGATCTTTGGGCTTTGCGCTTTGGGGCTACCGCTCGATATATTCACATACCGTACCGTACCGTACCCCATCCAGGCGAAAAACTGGTTTGATCTACTTCGGCGGCAGCCTCAGTGTTGTGTTCCTCTCCTGCTGATTTCATAATTAAGCACGGCTCACTACCAGTCGTGCTCCTCCTCCCTAGCTAGCCTCTTACAACATATATAGTTTTGGAGAAGATATATATAACATCTCGTGAGAGGATATTAATGTTTCTCATTTCTAGACAGTAAACATGCCACCCTTTGTAACTAGGAGGATAGCCAATAAAAATTTCAAGCCCCGAAACGATCAAATTAATATTTTCAAAATTGTGTTAAGTGATTATATAATTTGTGTTCGTTCTTTTGGCTTTAGGTGGATTTGTGTTCCCCTTGTACCTTTGGTTGCTTGTTTGGTTTGCATTTGATTTGTTGATGTGTCAATTATGTATTTATTTAATTTATCTTTTTTTCAATTTTATTATCAAATCCCTCAAATAGATTATCTTATCGTTATTAGCTATTTTATAGATTTAGGCCATGTCTTTTAGATTAAAATTTTAGAGTAAGATATTTTTTTTTTTGATCACAGAGTAAGATATTGAAAAAACTAAAAGAACTTGAAAAGAGTTGAAAAATATTAGATAGAATTTAAGTATTAAAAAAATTACTCAATTAAATGATTACTCAGATAAATATGCAAGATAACTCTTATTTTGGATTAAAAAGAAATTATCATTGTCTATATTATAAATTGGAATATATAATACTCCCTCCGTTCCACAAAACCCTTTCGGTTTTGACTTTGGAAAAAAATAAGGAAAGTATAATTTTGGTTGATTTTCCAATTTTGCCCTGATATAATGGAAAAAAATAAGATGTGATAGTTTGGTTATTAGTGAAAAAGTATGATGTGATAGGTAGGGTATGAAAAAGTAGAGGTAAAAATGGTTTTTGAATAGAAAGTTGAAATATTTTGTGAAAAGTAAAAAAAACGAAAGAAGAAGGATTTTGTAGAACGAAGGGAGTATAATTATATATTCATCGTATATATAATACCTTTTTTAAGTCATCATTCGAATCATCTGGAAGGAATTTAAGGGAACCTGGAAAGAGTTTAGAAACCGAAAAGAATTTAGAAAATATAAAAAAGTTAAATTTTTTCAACCCAAAGAACAAGGCCTTAGTATTGAATTTTAGTTATTGTTTCAATAAAGAGTGATAAAAGTAAACTAATTTTAATACTCCGTATATAAAAAAATATCTTTACTAATAGAATCAACTCTTACTTACCATGTCTATATGTTTAAAAATATATTAATTTGTAAACTAAACAGTCATTCACAACAGCTGGCACGAACTGCCAACAGCTGACAGCCAACATCCAAACAAGGCCATTGTCTAGTTTATAATACCCCATCCCGAATTAAAGGTCCAATTTGAGCGTTCATGGAGTGATGAAAAACTCCATCCTACTTTGTATTACAAGTAAACATTATAACCCCATGATGCTTTTGATTGATGTGCACCATCATTCACAGTCCTTGTTGCTGCTCAAATGACCTTCAAGTCTCTCAATCGCACCACCAACTCCGCTCTTCACCTCTTTGTTATTGATCCGCGTTTGGGATTCATTTGCTTTTTCTACGAGCTTCAGATGAAGCCAACCTGAAGAAGAAGAAGAAGAAGAAGAAGAAGAAGAAGAAGAAGAAGAAGAAGAAGAAGAAGAAATATGCTAGCTTCAGTAGCTAATCTATGCCGCTGGTTAATCAAACAAACTTCTATGCACTGAAGGACATGAATGCATTACCAGCCATCTCAAGAGAAGACATGCTTAATACAGTAAATGAATTGGGGAGGGGCATGCAAGAAAGTAAAATATATACCGAGTATTTGTTACAAAGATAGATTACCAAGTGGAAAACAAAATATGGCACCCAAAGCAGAACCCAGCACAACGTTTCTTGCACGCCAATAGAGTGACCCTGGCACTGGAAAAATGCACAAAAATAGTTTTTGGAGTTTTAAAAGCACTAAAAGGATCGACATACTTGATCCCAGGATCGTTTCCTACTTACGGATCAGACCAAATGCGGCAGAAGTTGCAGATCCAGCTGCAACTACGTTATAGACATCATGCACCCTGCGCTTCTCAGCTAACAGATTCTGCAACCCACAAAATGAAGCAGTGAACACCCCAAGCCGCACTCCACCAACTATTGAGCCTCGAGTGACTCGTATGAATCTTTTTTCCATAGAATCTCTCATCAGGCGATACTGTTCACGCTTATCTGGTGTGCTCCCAAGCTTCAGCATCACCTCAGCATCCTTGCTCTGTCAAAAAGATGACAATGTCATATCTTGCTAAAAACACAGCGAATAAATGAAAGAAAACAACTTGATATTTAATCTTCCTACACCAAGCAACTCATACTTACAACTGAGGCAGCTGCCTCCTTACTACCCCCATATAACATGCCGGCAAATACCCCAATAACAGTGGCAGTGCCCCAATTGACAGTTCCAGCCATTCTTTGACTTCCCTGACAAGCACAAAAAAAATGTGATGCTTTAACATAATTAGATGAGCTAAATTCATTTAAAGTTACGAGGAGAACCCAACCATCTATATTGTTCTTTTTCTTAAATGTCAAATAAATGAGCTACTACTTTTGAGAAAGCCGCCGCCCCATTCAGTCATCTTGGGCAAGAAGGGAGGATGCAGGAGAAAGAGAGATGAATGAAAGAGCAAATTTTAAAAACAAAGGAGTTCCTCAGATCTTCAACAAGTATCTCACATTATTATGCGCAAAACAATGCAGCTTAGGAATAGAAAATTTACCCCTTTAGGTATTACAATTGTTTAATTTTTAAGGAGTAAGGTTGTTACCAAAAAAAGGGGTAAGGTTGAAATAATATGCAATGTAGATTGTACAAATTTTAAACAATTATGATGCTATACAACCGAGATCTACATTCAGAGAAAAAGAAACAAACTCACATACACGGTGTCTGCTTCTTTCGATTTTGCAGGGGATTGCATAATATTTATTATTATTATTATTATTGTTGTTGTTGTTGTTGTTGTTATAAATGGCTAGTAAAGACAGCTAAGCAAATATAGTGTAGGAGCACAGAGGCAACAAGTGGTAAAGAACTGAGCAGCCGGAAGCTGGACTGTGGCGTGCTTATAGGCAACAGCCGCTGAATCCTTGCATTTTGAATTCTGCAAATAATTAAATGTAAGGAAAGTGTTACCTCAAGGGGCAAGCTTGAGTCCATAACAATGTACATAATATGCATGATTGGCAAATAGGATCAACTGAATTTTACAAAGAATAACTTCATGAACACATTACACCTTTCAACCACACGAATAGATACAATTTTGAATTTCATGATTTTTTGGAACTCTATATTTTACGCCTGCAAGTATGCAACTAAAAGTTTTGTATTTAATTTCATGTATTGGTCTTTAGCCATTGTTTGGATGGTGAGAAGTTGGTGAGAAAGAAAATGTGATGTGAGAAAACATAATTTCCAATGTATTTTCTCTTGTTTGTTTACTCCCAATTCAATTCCAATTCCATCAATTCCATGTACCAAACGGACCCTTATGGAATTTACTCAGACATTTTTTCTAGGAAAAAAAACTATAAGCACAAACCCTTTTAAAGTCATCCGCTATTGATCCAAACATTAGAATTAAACACAAACTAACAGTTACTTTCAGGGTTTGTTATTAAGGTGTCATCAGAGGCGGATCCAGAATTTACCATGGGGTCCCCTACAACGGACAACCAAATGCGGTCTCGAACTAATTCATACCGTTTAACAACAAACTAAAACTAATGTTTGAATAATACTAGAAATTGAACAACCATTTACTTGGGACAATAGTACACTGATCCCTTCCACTCAACTCTGATTCTTTAAATTTGGGTTGCTATTAAAATATTTTTGCATTATAAATTCTAAGTAGAAAAATAAATAATTACACAATTTAGACATAAATTGAAGATTAATACTTATCACTTGAAATCTTAAATCAATTAGTAGTGAATAAAAGTATAAAATTAAAAAACAATTACTCTGTATATACGAAGTATTAGCAATCATAAATCATACAACTTCATACTTCGTAATAATTAAACATTTATTTTCATAAAATAACCAAATTTAATTACCTGTGGGCTGAGCTGTGACCGGCTGGACCTGGTTGAAGGCTGAGAAGAGGAGACCTGAGACGGACACACCTGAAAAGAGGAGAGGCGGTCGCGACTCACCGGCGGCAGAATGGCAGAGAATCAATGGAGGGCGGCTGGGTGGAGGTGGTGACCGGGAGAGAGAATTGCATATGAGGGGCAAGGGTTTCGTGCGATTGAAGATCCAGAACTTACAAAATTGGGGTACATTACAATAATTTTTTGGGTAGAAGATGATAAAAGTTAACGGAGTAAATATTAAATATTAACTGAGAAAATGAATTTGACCAAAGGATGAACGGAAAGTCCTCGGAGTTAGTTTTCAGATAATTAAAAGTATTCGGAGTATATTTTAAAAAAAAATGGGACTTGTGAGTTCTTATCACAAAACCTAGGATACCGGGCAGCAATTTTCAACAAATTTTCTAAAAAATTTGTGCTAGTTAGGAACATTACTAATTACCTTGGAAAATTATCTTAAAAATCACGCATTTTCAAGTTTTCTTGAAATTAATCACACTTTTCATTGTTACCGAACATGCGTGCGAGTTTTGAGCCGCCATTAAAAAGCCAACGACAACTTCACAAATTTTTTAAAAATTGCATGTTTTTTGCAAATAAATAAAGGTGAGATTATTTTATGTAAATTTACTTTTTCCTTTTATTAATTTTAATTTTAAAATTTATGTTTTAAAAGTATAACAGTACACTCTTGTTAGAGATTTGTCTCAATTTTTTAAAATATAACGATTTTCAAATTTTGTTTTATGTTCTTGGAGAAATATAAGATTAAATTATCGAAAATTAATTCAGAGTATCGCTCGAGAAAGAAATTGTAAATTGAACACTTAACATTCCATTGTAATTGAACTCTTGAATCCAAATTCAAAATTAAAGTTATTTTTCAATGTGATTTATTAAAAATTTATATAATATAAAATAAATATAATATTCATTCAAAAATATATCGACTACCCAAATTTAATTTAATAAATGTTTCTTTTTTATAACAAAACTTTCAAATACTCCGTAATAAATAAGATACTTTCTTCACCTTTTTATAATTTTCATGTTTTTTTATTTTACATATAAAAACTTCTAGTTTACATAAAGAAACATCTTAACTTCAAGTTTCTTTTAGTTTTTCCAAATCATTCTAGTTTCTTCGATTTCTTCCAGTTTCTTACAGTTTCTTCTCGTGTTTTCCAACTATTCACATTTTTTTCAAAATCTTTCTACTTTCCAATTAATTATTCTAAAAATGATTTTTTAAAATTTGATTATTATTATTATTACAATTATTATGTTCTTAACTATAGTTTATAAATTATTTTTTTATCTCACTATTTTTACGATTCACACTCATTATTATTTTTTCTTCAATTTTTTTATATGAATAAGACAATTTTTTTGTATATTAATCTCCATGATAAAGTAGGAAAACATCAATATTTTAAACTATATTAAAAAATAATGGATAAAATAGTTACATGGAAAGTTTTATTAATCTAACTTTATATAAGACTCCTCACCTTTCCCTTTATTACTCATTTTTATTTATTTCAAAATTTAATTTTATTTTTCATCAGTCTACTTTTTATTTAAAAAATGAAAATCAAAATAGTTTAGAAAAAAAGACTAAAATATGAGTAAAATATAAAAATAAATGTACAAAAATAAAAGTTATATGTATTTATTCCAAAACTAAGAGTTACAATGAAAATAAAATGACAGTCATGAAATAAAAAAGAGGTTTGGTTACATTATGTGACATGCCTGATATTTAAAACAAAATTTTGTAATATATAGATTATAATTACAAATATATTATTTTATAATAAATGCTGCATAAATAAATTGAGGTACAATATAACCACAATAACTTTTTAAAATTTAACATTTTGACATTTATGCTAACTTCTTCTTCATCATCAAAAAAGTTGCGAAATTTGAAAAGGATGTTTCTATTTGCATGTAAATCCTTTGTAAAACTTAATGTAAAAAAGACTTGTCAATAATGTCTAAATTATTATTATTTTTAGTTTTGACCTCGAGCTCTAGAGTAACCATCACATTTTTTTACCATATTTTAAATTTATCAAAAAACTCGTCAAATTTGACATGAATATTTATATTTGCATGTAAAATCTTTTGTAAAAATTTCATGCCAAAAAGACTTGTCAATAATGTCTAACTTATTATTTATTTTAAATTTGGCCTCGAGCTCTAGGGTACCATCACATTTTTTGGCCAAATTTTTAATCCATCAAAAAAAGTTGTCAAAGTTGACATGGATATTTCTATTTGCGTGCAAAATCCTTTTTAAAAGTTTCATGTCAAAAAGACTTTTCAATAATGACTAAAGTATTATAATTTTAGTTTTGGTCTCAAGCTCTAGGGGTAATATCACACTTTTGGCCAACTTTTAAATTCATTTAAAAAGTTGTGAAATTTGACATGTACTTTTCTATTTGCATGTAAAATTATTTGTAAAAGTTTCTTGTCAAAAGTTTTTTCAATAATGTCTAAGTTATTATTTTTTTAGTTTTGGCCTCGAAGTATAGGGGTACCATCATTTTTTTAGCCAAATTTAAAATTCATAAAAAAAGTTGCGAAATTTGAAATGGACGTTTCTATTTGCATGTAAAATCCTTTGTAAAACTTTATGTCAAAAAGACTTGTCAATAATGTCTAAATTATTATTCTTTTTAGTTTTGGCCTCGAGCTCTAGGCATCACATTTTTTGCCATATTTTAAATTTATCAAAAAACTCGCCAAATTTGACATGGATATTTCTATTTGCATGTAAAATCTTTTGTAAAAGTTTCATGCCAAAAACACTTGTTAACAATGTCTAACTTAATATTTTTTTTAGATTTGACCTCGAGCTCTTAGAGTACCTTCACATTTTTTGACCAAAATTTTAATCCATCAAAAAATTTACAAAATTTGACATGGATGTTTCTATTTGCATGTCAAATCCTTTGTAAAAGTTTCATGTCAAAAAGACTTTTCAATAATGTCTAAATTGTTATTTTTTAGTTTTGGTCTCGAGCTCTAGGGTACCATCACATTTTTTTCCAAATTTGAAATTCATCAAAAAAGTTTCCAAATTTGACATGGACATTTCTATTTTCATGTAAAATCCTTTGTAAAAGTTTTATGTCAAAAAGACTTTTCAATGATTTCTAAATTATAATTTTTTTAGTTTTGGCCTCGATCTCTAGGGGTACTAACACATTTTTTGGCCAAATTTTGAATTCATCAAAAATGTTGCGAAATTTGACATGGATGTTTCTATTTGAATGTCAAATCCTTTGTAAAAGTTTCATGTCAAAAAAGACTTGTTAATAATGTCTAAATTATTATTTTTTAGTTTTGGTCTCGAGCTCATTAGGGGTACCATAACATTTTTTTTGTCATATTTTAAATTTTTAAAAAAGTTTTGAAATTTGACATGAATGTTTCTATTTGCATGTAAAATCCTTTATAAAAGTTTTATGTCAAAAAGACTTGTTCATAATGTCTAAATTATTATTTTTTTAGATTTGGCCTCAAGCTCTAGAGCTACCATCACATTTTTGGCCAAATTTTTAATCCATCAAAAAAGGTTGTCAAAGTTGACATGAATATTTCTATTTGCATGTAAAATTCTTTTTAAAAATTTTATGTCAAAAAGACTTGCCAATAATGTCTAAATTATTATTATTTTTGTTATGGCCTCGAGCTCTAGGGGTCCTATCACATTTTTTTGCCAAATTTTGAATTCATCAAAGATATCGCCACATTTGACATGTATATTTATATTTGCATGTAAAATTCATTGTAAAAGTTTCATACCAAAAAGACTTGTAATAATGTCTAAATTATTATTATTTTACATTTGGGCTCGAGTTTTAGGGTACCATCACATTTTTGGCCAAGTTTTTAATCCATCAAAAAAATTTGTGAAAGTTGACATGGATATTTTTATTTGCATGCAAAATCCTTTTTAAAAATTTCATGTAAAAAAGACTTGGTAATAATGTCTAAATTATTATTTTTTTTAGTTTTGGCCACGAGCTATAGGGCTACCATATATTTTTTGGCCAAAATTTTAATCCATGAGAAAATTTACAAAATTTGACATAGATATTTCTATTTGCATGTCAAATCCTTTGTAAAAGTTTCATGTCAAAAAAACTTGTGAATAATGTCTAAATTATTATTTTTTAATTTTGGTCTCGAGCTCTAGGGGTACCATCACTTTTATTGCCAAATTTTAAATTCATCAAAAAAATTTCTTAATTTGACATGGACATTTCTATTTTCATGGAAAATACTTTGTAAAAATTTTATGTCAAACAGACTTTTCAATGATGTCTAAATTATTAATTTTTTTAATTATGGCCTCGAGCTGGGGTACCATTACATTTTTTGTCAAATTCTAAATTCATCAAAAAAGTTTCCAAATTTGACATGGATATTTAAATTTGCATGCAAAATTCTTTGTAAAAGTTTATGTAAAAAAGATTTGTCAATAATTTCTAAATTTTATTTTTTTTAGTTTTGGCCGCGAGATCTAGGGGTACTATCACATGTTTTGGCCAAATTTTAAATTCATTAAAAAAGTTGCGAAATTTGACCTGGATGTTTCTATTTGCATGTAAAATCCTTTGAAAAATTTTCATGTAAAAAAGACTTGTCAATAATGTCTAAATTATTATTTTTTTCGTTTTGGCCAAGAGTTCTAAAGGTATCATCACAATTTTTGGCCAAATTTTAAATGTATCAAAAAAGTTGCAAAATTTAACATGGATATTTCTCTTTGCATGTAAAATTCTTTGTAAAAGTTTTATGTCAAAAACACTTGTCCATAATGTCCAAATAATTATGTTTTTAAGTTTTGGCCTCGAGCTATTAGGGTACTTTTCTGGCCAAATTTTAAATTCCTCAAAAAAGATGTGAAATTTGAAATGGATGTTTTTATTTGCATGTAAAATCCTTTGTAAAAGTTTTATGTCAAAAAGACTTGTCAATAACATCTAAATTATTTTTTTTTAGTTTTGGCCTCGAGCTCTAGAGGTACCATCACATTTCTTTGCCATATTTTAAATTTATCAAAAAACTTGTAAAATTTGGCATGGATAATTCTATTTGCTTTAAAATCTTTTGTAAAAGTTTCAAGCC